CGCCAGCTGCTGTTCTGGTATATGCATTACTTCTTCATTGACGTTGCTATATTCGATGGTAAAATAAAACCTAACCCTGCATTAACAGTATCGTCACGACTGGTGGTGTCGGCGTATGGATGACGGGCAAGATGGAGAAAACGTTAAGGGTGCTCTGGACATCTTCGGGTCCAGGCAAGACGGACCATGTGGTTTCTTGGTCGAATTCGAACAGTCTAAAGTATCGATACTACGGCCTCTAAATCTCTGTACTGCCTTTTTATACGACGCGTGTGTCATCTCCGATCTTATTACACAATGTTTTCCTCCAGCCATCTACCCATCGAGTCGCCCCCTTGAGTGAGATCCAGCCCACATATGGGGTGCAATAAGCTATTTTGGGGGTTTGTTGGCAATGTCTGCGTTTGCTTTGGACCTTTGATACCGACCATGACCACGGTTACTTGGCTGTCGATAGAATTTGCGATAGGAGTGGTATCAGAAGGGCAGAGTGTAGAATCTCATTGGCTTAGTAATCTATGATATCTCTCTTGTGTCTCCTTCATTTCTCTGCAGATTTTTGCGGCTATACAAATTGCTCCTTTTCTCACCCTCATGTTCATGCATGTCTTTCTACTGACAATTTAAGTACAATATCCAATTTGGTGGCGTGTTTGTGAGCAAACAGTTCCGAAATTAGCACAAACAAAGAAAAAAAAGGGGGAGTAGGGGTTTTGATGTGGTTTTTTGGTGGATATTCTTTTGCACGAAGGTGATTCCACGTCTGACAAGAGGCCTCAACGAGTCATCCACAAAAGCCATACGTATCTACTCTACTGTACATACTTTGAAAGGACGGATATGTTGTCACCGTTCTACTGACAAATCCTTTCTAACAAAGACACTCCATAAAGATCGATATGTGTCCCATACAAGCGAGATAACCTCTGTTCCCCTGTTGCCAGGCAAATTCTCGCACAAACCGTTTACCAGTCCCGCATACTCCATTTACCCCACTTTAACTTCTCACCATCCACCGACAATATGGAAGGAATTTTCATGCCAGTCTCCGCCTGGAAACAAAACTAAGCAAAAGCTATCCATACTTGACTCCAATATGTGGAGAAAATTCAACATAATAAGGATACTATCAAGTAGACTCTGCAACCAGATAAAGTGTTCACAACAAGACGTAAGTAATTTAGTTGATATAGCCGTTGACGCACACCAGGAATGACAGCTTCAACTATTCTTCAAGGAGTGATAAATATACCGTTGAGCAGTTTCTCTGATAAAATATAACTACTAATCTTTCTACAATGCCGTTATTGGTGCCATTTCATAGGGGTGATTTCCAGAATGACCAAGTTTCTCCTATCCTCTGTAACCGTCTTATATTGGGGGTGCGCCTGTTTGTCACATTGCGGGTGCTTTTCTTATGGCCTTTAATTATTTTTAGACTACATTTTTATAGACGGTCAGGCAACTACGAATGTAATGCCATCATCTATTATTCTCGGAAAAGACATATTCCAAAAAGACCGTCGTTATTAGAATGTAAGGACACGGGGGTTAGTGTACGTTCAACAGCTGGTCATCATTCTGAAGATAACTATACTCCTCCTAACTCAGGCACCAGAATTCTTGTTGGGTGGGGCAGGCATCCCATTTGACAATGGGGAAGCGTGCGCTGGCCTTCTGCTCATCTCCTCGGATTCATTAGAATCCCCCAAGCTGTATTTCCGGTTTATACCCTTCTCGAATCCTCGTGCAGTTGATGATGTTACTATCTAGTTAAACGGTTGGTCCTGGCTACCGTTCACTGGAAGGGCTTCTTCCAAAAATAAAGGGTGTGCGAAATACGTGGAGCTAGACCAATCTTAATGAATATGATTTGGAGTGAACAGCAAACGCTGGCTACTCTCATTTGATTGGATATGTGACTGCCCTCCCATTCCTTGTGCATATTTAAGACCCTTGATGCGCCTGTTGCGACCAGGTTCGCTCAGGGAACTCCAAACATCACAAATCAGGAAGAGATGATTCAATCTAATTCAGTGCAACATGAGTGGTAAATGATAAATAAGTCCTTCCTTCAAACACAAGCAGTTGGACATCCTCCCAGCTTTTGAACTGTGTCACCTTAATGTTTCTGGATTGATAAAGCCCCTGCAACAAATGGTTTGATAGATGAAAGGAGATGCTTGCTACAGTTAAGGGTATCCTCTGCTCAAAGCATGCTATAAGCTACATTGACATCATATACTTTCATTTCATGATGCCCAATGGACATATCATCAACCCTACACATATCCCATTAGGTATAGAATAAAGTGAAGAAGAATGTGCTATCCTCTCAAGTCACAAGAGGGCAAAAATGAGAAATGGATAATTAGTTACAAGGTAACTACCCTATCAAGCCTAGTTAAAATATGAACAAACGACCCCAATTGCGACACCCATCATTCAATGCCATCGCGCTCAAAAAAGGAGAAAGTCCATTGCCAAATTTTTCACCATCCCAGCAATCATGCTTAAAGAATTTTTGCGCCTTAATCCACAAATCGTGTATGCTTTGCCCGTGGCGGTCCGTCCAAATCGTCGTATCGCCGACTTGATCTTCTACCCCTAATTTCCACCATTTGCGGGACCTCGTACTCATCATGTTGAGAATTGAAGTCCCGGACCGGTCTATGCCTTGAATAACTGCGTCTTCGGGACGAACTGCGTTCATGACGCGTGAAACATTCCGGACTGCCGTTTGGATTATCACATTGAGAATCGCGGGCATAAAAATATGAAGCATATTTAGATTCCCCTGAAAAAAATTAGTTACAACACATTACAAATATGGAAATTATTGATAAACTCACTCCCAGGGATCCGCTCACGCTCCCCCGTTGAGTACGTCCGATTTTCGTGCACATATTGAGTATTGCAGGGAGGATGCTGAGAACAGCCCGGCTGGGTGGGAGGAGCATCAGCCCGTCTCTGACATTCGTCATTTGCATTAGAACCCTTACTATGGCCTTGTGGCTCTACCCCGACACCGACGCTGGATTCGTAAGCCCTTCGATTGTCATAGCAATAAGTTCGTGGAGAGCTTTCCCGAGTAGTGGCATTGGTACCCTGGAGGATGGGTATCGCCGTACAATTACCAAAACAATGGGAGTGGACATACTGATCGGGCTGGGATATGTTGCCACAAGAATGATATATAGGACCACCTGTCGGATAAGGCTGGACAGATGTACTATAAGTTGTGCATCAGCTAATATACATGTATTTAGGTTAGGGGAGAAGTAATTCCTACTCACAACTGGCCATTCATATTAGCATATACGGTCTGCGGTATCTGAGCATCGGAAGACCTCTGATGCTGGCAACTTTGAGGAGGATGCAGTATAGTGTAACCTGGTATGTTGGCATTCCCAGCTACATACATGTTCCCCTGGGTAGCAGGTGGTTGATGCCTACGCACAACTCCACTGGTTTGATGATTTGAAAGATTCACGGTACACCGGTTCGGATCATAAACTCCAGATCCTGCAGGCTGAACTGTGTATAAGGGAGCTCTGTCACTCTCGTTATCGCTAGTATAGCATTTACCTTTCGTACTCTTCTTTGTAGCAAGACTTCTTCTCCCCTTGCGGGTGTTTTTGTGTTTGGGACTCTTCTTTTTTCTTATCGGGATATCACTTTTGCTACTGCTATCACAACTGCTGTCTTCGCTGGTCGCATAAAAGCTATCGCACTTCCTGCACCTCCTGCAAACGCTTGTGGAGCGGGTAGGCTGAGCTGGAGTTGTTGGATTCGGAAGATTTGTGTAAGGCAAATATGGATATGCCGGAAGAATTAAATACACTGTTTCATTTGTGTCGGATTTCGTAAGCCCCTCCACAGCCTGATAAGCGTAAGGAAGAAAGGGTGCCACTTGGGCCATCTCATTCGGGAAAGGAGTCTGTGTGACAGGAAGCGGTTGTGGAAGCTTTTGCGGAAAGTGTTGCGGATACGGCTGTTGTTGGAGCTGCTCGTACGGGATGACTGGCACCTGCTGAGGGTCTGGGGATCTCGCAGCCCCAAATCTATTGTGGTCCGGTACGAGATATGGGAGGTAATTCAGTGGAGGAGAATGTGGGTTAAGTAGAGCATCTGCTAACAGCGCACCAGGAGTCTTGATTCTTTTTGATCGACGGATAAACGCGGGTTTCCCTGAGGGCAACCTCTGCAGGTATATACCCCCTGGTTCCATATGAGATAATGAGGAGGTGCTAGAAATGTGAAGAACCTAACAGTTAGACACTATACAGTTCTTTCAGCATGCTCACAGCCAAACGGAAGTCACAAGGCACAGACCTTGTCGTGATACTCCCACTTGAGTTCTCACTTGAATCTGCTTGAGAGGCCATAGTGGGCCACCTGGGTTATCCCAAGGGTCTTCTGTGTAGCCGTATGAGAGCTTCGGCGGGCAACCAACGAACGAGTCTTGAGATTTAAAGCAGAGGAAGAGTGGAATTAAGAATATCGTATAGTGATGCGTCACCAACAGATGCCAACCGGCAGAGCTCCTGCCGAATAATACACAGACAATTGCAACTTCCCACGGATCCTTCAATGGGATAAACGCCACACGCGGAGAAAGGGTTGAACGGCGCTGGGAACTCCTGGAAAGATGTCTGCGCAGCATACGTTGGAACCAGATGTAACCCCGAAACAGCAACGCCAGCAAAAGGGCTGAGGGGAGATAGGGCATTTTAAAGTGTAAATCCCCATGCCATTCGTAGTTATAAGCACCTGGAGGACGAATGTGTCTATGCATTGAAGCTGGATGACACAAAGAGGCAACATAGGCGCAAACTTGTAGCAGCCTGAAACGGGAAATTCTCCAAAAGAATCATCAACAAAGAAGAAATGGGAGAAAAAGGGTGGGTTTCTATTATGGAATACAACAGTAAACAGCAATAAAGAGATAAACTAGAACTGCTACAAAACATTCTCTTTCATCTCATAGAGCTGAGGAATCCCTGAACTTCTTCAGGGTTTTGTTGCTTCTTGAAACCAAACAGCATTCATTGTTTTTGTCTGGAGCAACAATACGCCTGCATATCTCAGCCTCGAGAGGAAAGTAACCAGCACCCAGCACAAGCCCAAATTATTCTTTGGTCAGAACTTCTTTATAACATGAAATCGCTTAGCCAGGCAGGTCGCGCAGACAGAGACAGTGGCCTTTAAAGAACTTGTCCATTGCTATGCTTGGCGTTGAAGGTGTTAAGGTGTTGGGGTTTTCATTCTTGGTGTTTGGCGGGACCAACCAACTTTATTAAAGACGGGACAAAATTAGCTGCCGAAGAGGAGAGGAAGTTGACTGGGAGAAATGTGAAACTGAAAATAAGAGAACACAAAAAGCATGAAAATGAAGATAATAATGAACTTTTGATGATGATGATGCACAGACCTGGTTTATTAAATTTCCTATCATGCCTGGAAGAATAAACAGAAAATGATATAGCTATATCAACTTGGATTTGCTGAATTTGCGACATAAATAAAAATATTGTGGTTAACTATCACTAGTAACTAAGGATTATCCGGATTGCTCGATCATTTGCCAGGCAAGCCTGTCTCCACACCCGTCTCTAATCCCCAATCGCGTTCTACAGGCTGCCGATATGATTATACGTAGAGGTTAGCCTCCCGCCAGCTTCTAGGCCAGACACCACAACATTGCAACTCAAACATTTCATCACCAAGCTACTCCTTTAGGAGCAATACCAGCAGCGGCATTCCACCCGGGTGATGGATCCGGACTGGAATTATGAGCGTTGGAAAAATTTTTACCATTGCTCTGATCCATCTGTGATCCGACCCCTTCTCCAGGTTGTGTATTCGTACTCTGGCCTTTAAAATTGGCGTTGTTCCATTCAGTCCATTGGGAGGCACGTGGCGGGCAATCAACTCGCGACCGTTGCTGACTTTCATTATTGAAATTTGTGGAGGTACTGCCTGTATTAGGAGGACCGGACCATCCCCCCATTCCCGAATCTGGTGGTTGGGGTCGCGAAAACGACCCTAATGGTGACATTCGGAGAATATTATCGTTGTTCGTGCCGGAGTTCGCGAGGAGGTCCTGAATCGGTGGTTAGCTCTCATGATAGAAGGCATGTGTGGGGTTGGTAGAGAGTGTAATCGTGAAAGAACGAACCTGAGCACGAAGCAACTGATTTACAATTTCGGCTCTTGGTAGTGCCTGTAGCTTTCTTCTCTCGTCGTCGATATTGAAGACAACACTCTCCCCAAACTTGTCCCGTATCACGTCTATGCAATTTTGATCAGGGGATCAGAAACTCGTATGCTACAGGCCCGATATAATCAAAGAAATTTAGAAAACTTACCTGCAGTCCGATATTTGAAAACAAACACCGCATATGGCTTGTCCATGTCATCTTGGTATTCAGGGGCTCTTATCTTGTGTAAATATCTTGCATGTGGACCGAGCTGAACCTGATGGGTGAGGGAATCCGCCTGTGCAACTGACTTGGGAACAGTATATAATGGAGGTTCATCCCTCGTTAATGATGAAAGTAATGGAGATACAAAATTTGGTTGTTCTATGTTATAGGTCTGGCGGAAATTAGGAATCTGCTGCATAGGGGGTTGTTGCCCCTGGGCCGGTGAAGACCTGAACGGTTGTGCATTTGCGGTGCTGTCGTTCGTTTGAGCCCAATTTGAATCATTGTTGTCGCCCTTGTTGGTATTCCAGTCTCCTGCTTGTGGATCGATTGTATTTGTGGCCTGATCTCCCGCGGTATATGACCAGGGAGTAAATTCGCCGTCCCCGTCATTGGTATTAATGTGCCCGCCAGATCGATCCTGTTGCTGGTTTCCTTTGGTATACCAGGAGCCATGATTATCATAATTTTCATTCACGCCACTGCAATTCTCGTCCATGTTCCATTCCTGGTTCGTTACTTCGCCCTGATTGTCTGTTCCTGTTTCTTGTTGCTCATGGTTATCCTTTCTGGCAGATTTTCCCTTCCTCTGTCTAGATTTCTGTTTTCGGTTATTATCTATGTTAGCACCGGCCTCTGCAAAATTGTGCTCACGCCAGCCCCAGCTTGAACTCTCAGGGACCCGTTTGCCTTTAGAAATCACGTAGTATCCAGTTTCATTTACCTTCGAGGGGTCTTCATTCCTATTATTGCGAGAAGGGCCATCCCTGAATATCTGAGGACTGACATTTAACACGATTGGACGCACCATAAATCTATTATCACTCTGTGGCTCGGCATAGAAAATGTTGTTCATTAGGCTTTCTCCGCTCGTAGATGATGTGCTGTGTGTATGCCCTGTTTGGGAGACGGGTAAATGAGTATTATCTTTGCAATTGCGAAACGGTAAATCATGTTGAGGATTATAACAACCTCCATGGCACTGAGAGTTATTGGTCCAAGATTGAGGGATATTTGGGCCATGTAAAATGGTTTCCCGAGTGTCGTGACTTGCATGGCAACATGTTGCAATTATTGGTTGTTGCTCGATGTGCCAGGGATTTTGATGCCCCCCGTTATGACAAGGTATGTACTCATCAGGCTTTAGATGGCGGTTGCCAAAAGAAAGATGGCAAGAAGGGCCGCATTGCAGATACGATTGCTGATGCGGTTTTGGTGCATAACCCCTATCTTCAGAGGGTCCATCAAACAGACCCCCAAAGGTACTACCAATTTCATCATTTCTCTCTTGCAACCTACCACTAAAATCATGTAGAAACGACTGGTCGCTTGAGATTGAATAATCACCTGGGTAATCTATTGTCAGAAATGTAATGAGAGGGACTACTACGGAGCCATACCTTCACCTTCAGAACCAGGATCCATTGCAGATTCCGGAGTACATGCTCTATTTGATTTATATCCTTTACTCTCTGCCCTTGGGTCCGCCGCACAGCGAACAACAACAACCTGGATAGTTCCCAATTTTTCAAACTGCTTTAAAATATAGTGATTGTTCGGTTCATATTCAACTATAACACCACCATCATATTAACAACACGCTTTAATCTGGGAACAATCACACTCAGAAAGACAGCGCACCGTCTATCATTTAACATACCAAGGTGGAAATGTTCAAATCTCCAAGGTCTTCCAATCCAGCTACCGTCAGGAAGCCGTTCTTCCCTCTGTCGAACCCTGAAGCTAACATCTCTATACATCCTACTCACCTCTGATGACTTAGATGTGGGCAGCAGGTCATTTCTGTTGCGATTGCACTGGTAAACCCCATCCATGGAAACAAACATAGCTAGCCCTGGTGCAATGTAATCGTTTGATTTCAGATTGATTGAAAAGGGAGACGGTGCATCAGGAATTGCTATATAGCTTTCCACCCACCCGTCTCCATAAGTGGTGCCATATTCTTTGAATGGGACATTCGAACCTGCCCATTCAACCTGACATGTGAGTTGCTTGAGTGTGGGCATTGTTAAACGGCTTTTGTTGTAGGTGTGATTGAGTAACTGTTAGATAAACAGACTGTCTAGGTGGTAAGTTGATGTGTGTAAGTTCGTCCAGCTGGGATACAATTGGTTTAAGTGAATATGAAAGAAATGGCCTTCAACAATCGATTGTTGTAGATTCATCCTTATATTATAAGTGATGGGGTTGCTGTGGCAGAACGGCCAACTTGAAATTCACTGACACATAGCTCCCCCCTTCATTCTTACACTACCTCAAAGCATGTATTAGGCGCTGTGTGTATGTCTCGATTTAATAGTACTAGGGAACTTGACGCCTGGATTCCGACTGAGATATTTAACCAGTGACAAATGGCCAGAAAATGAGAAAAAGTCAAATGAATGAAGACATGTTCATAATAATCGTCTAGGAAGTTTCATATGTTAATGAGTAGAATTATTTTTATCATTCTTATCGATGATCTGATATATATCTCCGAGAAGTGTATGTACAGCACCTCTACATACATTCACCTGAGCATATATATATCAGTGATATGTCAGAGGAAAAGGACTGGCCCCAGGATGAGGCCTCATAAGCGTCTGGGCACAATGTGGTAAATGAGGACTGAACTGTGGATGGAAAACTTTGATCATATTCTCACCGGCGATTTTTCGTGGAAAAGCAGAAATCATTATCGATAGTTATCTTATAAGAGACAGGAGTTTCTTCAGACAAGAAATGAGAAAAAACAAAAATTGAATGAGTTAACCGATCGGCTCACAAAAGAAAGTGACAACTCTTGAAAAGTGAGGTGCATGTCATGGTTTTCGGACGAGGAGCCCGGGCTGCATGGCTATTTTTTTTTACTCGTTACGGCAAGGTTGGGTCGAACCTCTGTTGTTCATACGGCTTCAAGATACCGATGTGCATATATCGTTTTCAAGCATAACACCATCCAGCTCAATGTGACGTGTGCAGGATGCGTTTCACTTGATGATGACTGGCCAGTCGCAATATTTCTTCGTGCTGCGGTGAGGCGGATCAAAGAAACTGACATCCCCTGGTGACTTGGCATTCATGGTATGCAAGCGAATCTGCATCCCTCGAGGAAGAGCCAGCGTGGGGATTCCACGAGGCGAAATCCGGGGTACTTTTCCAAGATCAAGGGGAAACAAAAGTGGCTATCCATTCTACCCGTTTATCTGCTTCGGTGAAATGCTTAACAGGATGAGCTGGCATCTTGCTCGAATCTTGCACGCATTGTGACCCTCTCATTTGGCAAGGGTACGGTTAAGATGATGGCCAACACATATCAATTACTATTGATCTCGCGAACAGTAACCTGAAGAAAACTTTCATTACCCAGGAAAAAGTAGATCGGTTTGCTGTAAATAGAATAGTTACCACGTGATTTGAAATAAAAAAAAATTCGAAATCTCCCCACGCTTTTCTACTCTCACCAAAGCCACGCGTCTACTATGAGCAGATCAACTAGTCGGAACTCATTGGCGTGCCTGATGTTGAACAAGCAAAGAGCATCGACTTCTCGCACAAGGCTGGTTGTTCTATCTCTTTCACATGTCAGAAATATAGAAAGCTTTTCAGTAACACGCACCTTTGCACGATGCTCTGCAATTGCTCTGTAGTTGGACCGATAGTTAAACTACGGAGTGCTGTATATTGCTATCGAAAGAGGCTTGCAGTTCATCTGGAAAGCTTTCCGAGAATAAGTATGGATCACGCTATCTAAGCAAGGTACCCATGCTCATCTAGATGCTCTGCCTATTTTCATAATGCTATCCGGGCTGCGCACTCCTAGATCAGCTTATAACCAACACCCAAACCAACACTTACCAGCTTTAACTATACGACTCATTGGAGATCCTCAATCCGCATACACTAATTTATCCCGCCCCCTACTTTACGCTGAATCTCTCGACCCATGCTGGGGTTCAATTTTGAGTATACAAACCCGGATCATAGAAGTGGCATGCCGTCACCAGAGAGAGAAACAATGGTTGAGCAGACGCCATAGGTTGACATGATGAAGCGGAATACGATTTTTTGATGAGCGGACAACGCTTTGATATTATTCATGATTACCCTTAGCCTGAGTATTCTTCCCCGGGTCTTCCTTTTTTCTTTTTTCTTTTTTTCTTTCTTTAAGCCATGTTTTCTTTTGCTCTCACCTTTTTTTTCAAACTCAGGTGACATTCGAGGAATCATCCATTATTCGCCTCATTGCACTACCCATTGGAAGGCGAAAAGTATGTATAGGTTTAATCACCTAGCAGGTTTTAAAACTTGGAAATGCCTTTGCAACGCTAGTTGCCTTATCCCCACCCGTTGTCCCTTGGAAGACCCTGATTCTGGATGTGACACCGCGGAGGGAAAGGGATCATCATGTCAAGTTTCGACAAGTTCTAGAATCCCATAACACCTTTGAATATCATCTTGATCTGTCTCGTTAATTTCTCGACTGTTAACCAGATGATGCCGCATGTCAACAACTGGGTTTACAAGATTCTGCTAAATGGCTCAGGTGAAAAGGAAATAGTTGCCTCTTTTACCAGTTATTTTAATTATTGACATGGATCACGTCTAAAATAAGAGAATAGCTAGCTACCTGTCTGTTCCTCGGTGAAACTTCCTGATCTTCTTGAGCGATCACAAAAATTTGAAACCACGCAGCAGCCTTGTGCTAGTGTGATGCCAGGTTCGCTGGGATCATGGAAGCCCGCTAGAAACCCTCAAAAGTCGACTCACCCCACCTTGGCGGCTTCTGGCCAATAAACCGTTCATCTCTCAACTCAGATTTATGTGAGGTCACACACCAAGACTAGCTAATTGTTGACGGTGTCTACATTCCTTGTCCCGTCCACGTCCCTGTTAAATGAACAACAGTCTATTCGCTACTCTCCCGTGCCCCTCTCTAGCGTGGCTTTTATGCAGCCAGTCCCTCCTGTTTGCTCACTCACGCTTGGGGGTCATTGTTGCTTCCCCCACGTAATGGTTTATCAGAAGATGCTGAAATTCTTCCCGTTGCTTCAGAAGCAGTTAGTTCCATAGCTATTTTCCATCCCCTTTGCTGACATGGACCGCCAGCTCTCCTTTTCTATGGGGTTTATTCCCAGCGTTTGCAGCCTTTCTCGGCCCAATACGCATTTCAATGTTCCTGGGATACGAGCCCTGGAGGACGACGCAGACATAACAACAAGATCAGCTGGTCTCTATTGTGGCGGGTTTCCGAAGTAAAATCTCCTATCCCACAAACCATGATTTATGGTCTGTATGATTTGGCATTATTTATTTCCTTATTTTACGAGGTGTGGAAATCCCTGTTCCGTTCAGCCCTTGTACGAAATGTGACACTGAGACAAGTCTTCATTCTGGCCCTATGGCGAGTCATGGAATTTTGTCCACAGGACAAGCTCATCATTGGTATGTTTGACCCTAAAATTTTATAGATGACCTATGAGCTGCTGTTCAACGCCGATATAAAACGAGTCTATTAAATTGCCGCCCACCCGAAGACGATAGACCAACCATAAGGAATAACAAAATCCGTGTTTTGCATGAGCTCGAATCATGGATTCGTTTCCTCAGGCCAGGATAAAATTGTGAGGGTAACGGCAACATCAAAAACCCTTTGAAAATACATACAAATACGGGTTGGCTTATCCCAGAAAGAAAACAACCTCGTAGAAGGTTTCCGACCTCCAATCTAGTGATGATGAGCGAGGCGACTCTAAAGGTCTCTTTAACTATCGAGCTCTTTTTCCGAGAGGTCTAACAGCATTAGGATCGAATCCAATGACTGCATTGCCCGCTTCTGACTGAAGATGCTAGCTTCTTGCAGCTTCTTGCTCCTTCAACCTTTTTGGACGGGGGTCGCCACAGGAATGCCCACAAATTTACGGCTTGCTATGATCCACTAATGAGCTTCTTACGGTACAAGTCTCGACTTCCTGGCCAATACCAATCTCTCCTTTAAGATGAGGCGGTGGAAGCTCTAAATCATGGCGTTTTCGAGGATCCGATCCCCGGGATAATCGACCCGGATCATACATCTTTTTCTCCTTATACTTTTGCTTGAACGATGCAGATATTGTAACCCATGCTACCCGGCACGCACCGACCCCAGACGTTGCCGCCCGACTGCATTCTCACCGAATCCATCAAGTGTGCCTTAGATCACCCATCGAGAGCTACTGAGCCCCACAGTCTGAGTACAAGTATGATCTCTTCCCCTACGTCAATGACTCCTCAGTGTTCATTTCTTCAAAATGCAGTCAGTTCTATAAATCGCCCATCCTCCGCTTTCTTCCACTTTCCAGCGGTCTTTTGCGGCTCAAAATACCTATCCAGGTACCCAAGTTGGGAAACATTGATACATCTTTCTTCCGATTTCCATCTTCATACGTTAACTCTACCACTGTTCAGTACAATTAGCCTTCCTTCTGTTTTCAGATTCAATCCTTTCGTCAATCTTCCAACGTTCTCATTCTCTACTTTCAATATCGACCTTTTCCGAGCATACATTTCGACACCACAAATACTACGTTGGGTTTTCGATGTTAGCTCCACACAAGCAATTCCAAACGTCCATTTTTATCTCAACCACTGGCTTCACCTCACACAACAATCATGATGGTCACCCCGCTCACACTGGGCGGATTTATCCCCCACAACGGCATCCCTCCTTTGTATGCAACAACCTGGCCCCCGCAACCTCACTACAGCCACGACATCGAAGACGACCAAACAGACGTCGACATTGAGATTATCGAAACTGCTTCAGAAAACAACATACCGACAGAAAACTCATCTATCCTCAGCGACAGCGAAATCGTTGAGGGCCAGGATCCCTATCTATTTTACGTTCTTCCTAAGCAAGAAGACCAGCATGAGATGGAAGATCCCTTCGTACTGGTCATTGCTTACCGACGAGATGAACGACTTAGCCAGTCCACCATCCCCGACGGCGACCAGGCTAACCCGTGGACAAATGCCACGCCTCATCCCTACGAAAATCCAAACGGAGATGAGTGGTATAGTGATCATTCCGGCAGCGTCCCCTCCAGCATGGTAAACTCTGTCATCATTGATCCAGATGCTGATGACGTCACCTGGGGAAGAGGGAGTTGCGTCGAGCCAATGCCCATGACCTGTTCGTCCTTCAGCTCGTCTCAAATGGCTTTGGGTGGTTGGTGTGAATCATCAAGCGTTTGCATCAAGTATGCGGGGTCACATCTCGCCGAGATGCTTGAGAATTATGCGGCACCGTATCCCGAAGCTATTAGCGTCATATAGTAAGGCGGGGATGGTTTTAAGCAAGGAGGAAATTTTACCCCTTTACAAAATGAGATATCTATCAACGCCTCCTCTATCGAATATCCCCGCTGGTTAACCTTTTAACAATTTTCCGTTATTTGCTTACTTTACTGTATATATATTCTTTATTTCTTTCTTTCCATATTCGACAATCAATGTATGGAACGGGACGGACACAATTACGGCGTGATTTGAATACCTTTTCCTTTCCTGTATGTTAGATACCTCTATTGTCATTATTGCCTCTTGTGTTCTTTAAGCCTTGTAACAATCCCAGTTACGGATGGGGGAAAAGCAATTTCATTGGGGCATGGGAGTTAGTTTATGATGTTTCATATTTATTTATTACTGGGTGTTGATTTGGGTGTTTTCATTTCAATTTTACGGTAATTTGTGTATGGAGCTAGTCGCAATGGGCAACTAGCATCCATTGTTGTGTATTTAATATTTAGTTATTAGTTAACTATTGCGTATTTGAAGGTGTTAGTAATGCCACAGCAGCCCTAGCACGTGACCCACACCCAACGTTAGATAAAACATAACCGGGCCCTAGAGGCTTAGTAAGCTACCGCTCACCTGCATCTTACGAGGGCCCGCCAGCTCAACGTAATCCGCCATCTCAACGCGATTGTTTTCAAAATATGATTATTTTTGCAAATCCCTGTTCTTAATATGCAATAACCACCCAACGTGGTGTCTTCTACATATATTTTAATAGAGAATAAGATCGCAGATGCATTATCTTCAATATCCGATGTTGAAAATCCCAATATTAAAGCATTGGCGCGAAAATTTGAAGTTCCCTACTCCCGGCTGCTGAATCGTTATAATGGTCGCGTCTCTCAAATTGAATGAACCCCTGCTAATTGACTATTATCATCTGGCCAGGAAAAATCACTCTGTTTCTATATAGAATCCCTAGATAAGCTAGGCCTACCTCTCAATCATTCAATGATCTTTGGTGCTGCCAAATTTCTACTTGCGCAGAGTCATACCGATCTCACCACACCTCCACCCGGGCTTGGAGAGCACTGGGTCAAAAGATTCCTTCAACGTCATCCAGAGTATAATGTACGCAAGCAAAAGACCATTGATATACTGCGGAAACAGGCTCACTAACCTTCATTCATTCCTGATTGGTTTAACCGCTTTAAGGAGATAAAAGAGAAGCATGGGATCCAGGACTGTGATGTCTACAACTTTGATGAAACGGGGTTCAGAATAGGAATCGGCCGTGATCAGTGGATTATAACGCGAGATCCTCGGAGGAGAACCTATGTTGGCAGTTCAAATAACAGGGAAACTCTTACAATCATTGAAGGGATTGCAACTGATGGCTTTACTATCCCTCCTTTATATATTCTCACTGCAAAGCAGCTACAAGAGCGGTGGACAGATGAAATAGAGAAGGATGCCATGATAGCTACGTCCGACACTGGCTATAATAATGATCAGATCTCTTTTCAATGGATTCAGCACTTCCATCGCTCCACCAAAGCCCGCATCAAAGGAACCCACCGTCTGCTTCTATTAGATGGATTTGATTCTCATTGCACCCTCGAATTTATGACTTTTTGTGACAAGCACAACATCATACCTTTCTATTTAATTCCTCACACTAGTCATCTTTTACAACCTCTGGACGTTGGTGTTTTTCAGGCTTTTAAACATCATCATTCTGCTGCAGTCGAGGAAGCTACGCGACGTGGTTGTGAGAAGTTCACAAAGGTTGAATTTCTTCATGCTATCACCTCTATTTGGAAAGCAACGTTCAAGGTTCATACAATCAAGCAAAGATGGAAAGCAACTGGCCTGGTTCCATTCAATCCGTTAGTTGTCCTTAATAAATTACGTGAGTTTGAATCAACTCCTATGGAATCCAAGGGGTCTGTTTCCACCGACTCAGAAACCTGGTATACTCCTTCCACCATACACCAATTCAATCGATATAAGCGGAAACTGGAGGCTTTGGAGGAGGATGACAACTATGACGCGGACTATATTTATATGGGATTACAAAAGCTTTATAAGGGTAGTATTGCATGGCCAATAACAGTGGCTCTTTGCAGTAGGAGCTAGCTCAAACCTCTGCTGCCACACTGGCTCGAGAACACCGCCTCCACGGCTTGCAGAGGGTGGTTATTAAGGGAGGTGTCATATCCGCAAGCTACTGCCGCAAAATGACGGCAATTAATAAGAAGGTTGATATGGAGGAGGCATTGGAGAAATTGCGGCCAAAATGGAAGAGGGTTATGAAGGAACTTAAGAGGTATTGCAGAGATAAAGGCATTTATGTGAATGCCACCAAATTTACAAGGAAATCTCAGAGATAATTCATTTACACTATAATCTACTTGTATATATAAAATATAGAGCAATTCGTTGAAAAATTAGCTGAATGTCATGGGTATAGGCAGGCAGTAACGTTGAGATGGCGGATTACGTTGAGCTGGCGGAGGGCCCGACCGGCAGGTTGCAGGTGAGCGGTAGCTTACTAAGCCTCTAGGGCCCGGTTAATCCAACCACCGAACGGCGAATTCTCATGTATAAACCTCCTTAATAAATAATTCATATTATTCCGAAAAGATCGACAATCAACAATCAACCAAAGAACATATTAAGCATTATTTGATCTGCCTCCGACAGTTCCCTCTGAATTTGACCTAAAGATTCAACAAATTAACAGTCAAATACGTGCTATATGGACGAATTGAACTGAACTGCTGGGGATTCTAGCGAGAGTGTCAGCGAAGCAAGACAAGAAGATTCTCCTGAACCGCTCAGAGGTTTTGGGGAGGAAACATGGAATCTCGAATTCAGGATCCTTGCTTAGAACCAGCAGATCTGGGATCTAATCGACGGCACTCCTGCCAGACTTCCGCAGATATGGAGAGCGTTCTGAAGGCGTAGGAACCCACCACCTTGCTTAAAAGGTTTAAACAACCATCATAGAGAGAGAATCCGATCTTTCGACTGAGCAGCATAAGCGTTATCGAAATGCTAGAGATCACTCCCGGCACGAATTCGCTGCATATACCGCTGATATGAACTCGATTACGAGAGTTTCGATGTAGATCTTGGAGCACGTTGCTGAAAGGCACAAGAACCTATATTGCACACCAGATAAATCACTCCACCAGCAGTACGAAGCTCTGAAAGCGAAGCTGGGCACTGACACCAAAGCAATCTACAAGGTAGCAAATAATAAGCAGCACATCAACAATGGGGATCAACCTAAGGAATATATTCTCGACCTTGATAAAAAATCAAGTTTTGCTCATGGTTTTTGCAAAGCACATTTATATTTAACTAAACCCCTGAGTGGGCCGGATCAAATCTATGATTGAAATGTTGCTATTTCAAGGGTGTTTCTTTCTAGAACTCTGGTTCTGGTTGGTGCAAAAATTATAATTAACTTATTATTTATTGTCTAGTAATGATGACAGCTTGTCAGCCCATAACCATGGATCTAAAAGTGTTTAACTCAATGGCCCTCTGCTAAAACCTGGCCACTGTTATGAGTAATTCTAGTAAGGCCTTCCAGAAGCCTGGATCATCTGGCCTATATCAGGAGAGAAGCTGATATTCTGGATACTCCGCATTCGCAGCTGTTTTGGGTGAATAGATTAGATATTTGGAGCAAGTTAATCTATCTCATTTTGAGCCCATGGTAGATACAGCTGTCATACCAGTAGTTACATCGAAAGTCACGTCACCTCAGTCATCCAAGGCTTTTTATTTATTTATTTATTTATTTAATTTTATTTTTTTTTTAATTTTTTTTTTTTTGGGTTGTCTTCAATTGTCTTCGATTTTTGCCAACGACATCATCTTCTGCGGGAGACTTCGCCTCCGCTTTCTTGTCTGTCTTCCTATACCCTCTTTAACTTTCGGACCGTCATTCCTTATTTGGACCGCCTGTGTTCCACTCTCCAACTCTACTTAAGATACCGGTGCTCTACCCTTCTCCCACAATTCCCCAAAGATTGCTTCACTGCAACACCGCTCAAACCGCAGTGCGCTGCTAAGCCCCTCCTACTCCTTGCGCAAGTTCGGCCTAGGACAGAGCCTTTCCTCAATGACTAACAGAGAGCAACTTTCGAGGCTCCCCGTCAATCACCTAACCTCCCTTCTTGACCGTGTCTTTTTCATTATAAAGCATGCCGATAGCTTCGTCCGCTAAACATCACCATCCTCGACCTCATGGATAACTAAATGACGTCAACTTTTTTTTATGATATCTAGCGCTCAGCCTTTTTAGAAACTTGCTGACCAGGCATCTACGAGACCACCATTCCAACCATGGCGGATAAGAATTCTCCTGGTTCTCCGAGGTGGAACTTACTCCTCAGACAACTTGTTGAAGCCTCTTCCCGACCCTCGAACTCGTTTGCATCCGATTACAATCTTCCCAAAACATCAGCAGTCAATAACCCGTTCCCTGAAGCTAAAGATCGAGAGCCTGACGTGTCCACCCGGCTAGGTCAATCCTCTTCAGACGAATACCCCACACCCCGCTCTTCTCTACCTACACCTTCTCGACAGTTCCCGCAATCGCAGGGGCCAGCAGATGAGGCAAAAGGGTCGAGCTTACCACAGCCTATTGACAGCTCTACATGCAGCTCAATGGATAAGAAACAGCAGATAAACAACCTGGAGGATCTCGGAAACAGTTCTCCCAAGAGAAAATTTGTTCCTGAACCTATTGAGACCAGTTCACGATCATCCCGTCACCGTCACCCTCCTTCCAAGTCTACGGGCCGGGTAGCCCCGCAGTTGTTGGAAACAACGTCCGACCGCCGCCGCCACCAAAAAGTACAGGGATCCAATCCCAGGAATCTTTTCGAGAATCCTCCCGATAATGGCGCTGGGGGTGGTGAAACTAAGGTATCTCCATCTCCTGGGAATCACATGCATAGTCATATCAATATCCCCATACGTTCAGGAGTATCACCATCAAGCTCAGAGTCGCCTAGGAG